GTGGCATGGGGAGAAGTGGCATGGGGAGAAGTGGCATGGGGTGAAGTGGCATGGGGTGAAGTGGCATGGGGTGAAGTGGCATGGGGAGAAGTGGAAATGGGGCAAAGTGGAAATGGGGCTAAGTGACCAACACCCTCATGGAGTCCTCTTGCACTATCATTCAATCATGTATGAACATGATAAAATCTCTGAATTTACATGTAGGCCTAGTTACTTCCCTTTCTGGAAACAAAATATGACTACACATCAGATTTGAAAATGTGATATTGGCAGAGATGCCATTTCCCATGGCAGAAGTATCGACAAATCAGCAAAAAGTGCAAGAAGATTTACAGATCACATACATGTAAATTCGGTAAGTCCCAAGTGATCGCGCAAATGGCATACGCGCAGAGGGACCATTGACCAATTGGGCACAGAACAGACAGGCAAATGTAGCTTAGGGCTTTCCACCTTACAGATATCACTAATTTTTTCCTGAAGTGGCATCAGAAAAGGATTACGTGCCCTACAGTTCAGATCAGTCTGGGAGTCAAGTGATGTCTGTTTCGCTTTAGTTTAGTGGTTGTAGGTCAACTCGACCGTTTGCCAGCTCGACTCCTGACCAACTCGACTGTTGACCAACTCGACTTCAAAGCCGAGTCAACTCGACCATTTACTAACTCAATGAACCCACGAAACCAACTGAAATGCAATCAATAAATGAACTTGTGCCAATGAGATACTCCAAAATAATTTTTCCAATTTGAGAAGATGCACACACGTACACGCACCCCACTAAATCTGTCACCACACTGTGTGCATGCAGATAACATCACACACAGTAAAGCGAATTACACGCACGATCCAGAACTAGGAAAAATGCATTCCGTTTGCACGGTCAAGTTGGTCAAGAGTCGAGTTGACCTTTACGGTCGAAGGAATAACGGTCAAACTGGTCGACGGTCGAGAGTCAAGTTGACTCGAGTCGAGTTGGCAAACGGTCGAGCTGACCTGACACCAGTTTAGGCCTGCGTACGTGTGTATGGACATGATGGAACTTCCACCTCTTTCTTTCCATCTCGTCTGTAGTCTTACATCAGGCCTTATTCTCAAGTCAAATAGGTCTAAGGCTTGGCAAGGTTAATACATGTAAATTCTACCTCCATGGTCCAACTGAGTTGGCCTTTGGCCTAAATGAAGAAGTCAAAATATCAACACTACTGCACTGACCGATTGTTGAATTTGGACGAAAGCTCCAGACTGGACTAGAAGTACATGTACATGTACTATGTAGTCTAGTATAGTAGTAGACTCGCGCGATCGCGTGGAGCCAGAGGTAAGGCGCCCTCTCCCTTCGTAGACGAGACGTTCGGAATAGAACAGCCATTTTTCAAACCTGTGCTCCTGTTCGGCAGAGGCTCCTTTTCTTGATTGATAGGTCCCCAGTGTGCCTGACTTTGGAGATTGCAACTCATATTGACGATTTTTAAGGACAAGAAGTCAACATTGACTTCATGACAACATGACAGTCATTTCATTTGGTCCGAACTTTAGCAACTGGGATATGTTTCCGCATTGAGAACAAACTCGCATTTTGAGATGGAGAAAAGGCTCAGCCGTGACTGCCTCATCAATAAAAAAAATAATGATAAACAGGCGGGGCAGGGTCGTCTCGAACTGCATCCATTATAATACGAGGAGCAACATGGCCGACCGGTTTTAATCAGCGCTGTTGGTTACATATTTCGGCAACATCATCAGCTTTTCAGCTGCCATTAAACACCCTTGGTAATACGCTTTCTGTAACAAATTGCTGGTTGATGCGTGTTCCTTTTATCTTTATTAATTATTCCGATCAATTATTCATAAATTTATAAAGTGTTTGCGTGAATACACTGATCATAATTGAATTATGATAAATATAATACTCTATATAAAATCAAGTGTTTACAAATAAAACATGTAAAAATTTGAAGTAAGGCACCCGCGCTATGATAGCATTGAGTATGAGCATTAATTATGACAAAACTGTAAAAGTGCTGTGCCTTCGCACATTCCTTGTTTTCTAGAGTTTTGTATATGAACGAGTCCAGAACATACACAATTGTAATAATTTTTTTCCCAGTATTTCTGTCCTCCATGGTTCGTGTAACGGCGTACAGATTTGACTGTTATGCTTCGTCTACAGTGTACATAGATGTCTGATTGATAGTCTTACATAATTATTTGTATTAGTCGCACGTAGGCCCTAATCTATTTTCCCTCGTTAAAATGTGTGTTTTATGTTTGCGTATTGGATGAATCAGAAATATGAAATACAAAACTTCTCAGTTCAAACTTCGTGCTGGCGACAGTGTCCTATAACAAAAATCGAAACAGTCGTAGGGTCCAACATTTCGGTCCTATATTGCAGGATCCTTCTCAAAGGTAAAACTTCGTATTTTTCCCTTTGAGAATGTATTTTCTTCTCTTAAAAGCTGGCGCTTTCATTTTCTTTTAAAAATGGCAACATGCCTCCGTAGATGCAGTTGATGGAGACTTCACTATGAAAAGATATTCAAGCATTTTTGTACTCGAGCCATCCACTTGCTTTAAATCAATTCACAACGAGTGAACAATTGGTCCATGGGGGGGGGGGGCTTCTCATTCGTCTTTGCCTAAAAAAGGGCTTGCTGTATTCTTTTCAAAATAAAATGTAAACAATTTAATAGAAGCGAACATTAACGGAGGGATGAACAGAATGGTAAGGGTAAGTATTTTTAGCTGATTCCTATTCAAGCATGGATTCTTTTCATTTCAGCTTGAGAATGCTTTGTTAAACGAGTTAAGCCTGACTACTTTATTCAAACACATTCTCTGATTCCCCTAGAGAAACCTCAGATCGGAGTAGCATGTCCTACCTACAGCCGCCGCCGGCACAGCACACCAAGCTGCTGGACAAAATCAGCCGAGCTTTGACCGATGAGGATGTTCCCAGGTTCAAGAATAGGTGTCTAGCCGAGGGGATACGCCCAGGCGAACTGGAGAGAAAAAGTGTGCTGGAATTGCTCCAGCTATTGGATCGACGCAGGGTGATTGCTCCAGGAAAGTACGACCACCTTGTACTGCTACTGACTGATATCGACAGGGGTGATTTGGTCCAGGATTTTTTCACTCCGGAAGGTGAACAGGGTAATGACAAAATTTTCATGATCACAGGGAATATCTCTTGGGAAACAAGCACGAAAACTGTTTCCATTTCCAGATTTTGTACCTATCTGCTTGTCAGAATATTTTGAAATTTTAGGTTTTTTAGAATCATTTCAATATAGATGGGAAGGCTTCTTCGATTTTGTGAACGAAAAATAATCGAGACCAGGCTACAATGCGTCGCGTCGAAGGAATTCGAAAATAGCCCGTTTCGTAAAAATCCACAACATTTCTCTGGAAAAATTGACTACCTATGGAACATTGCAACTAACCAGTCACCTTGGGTTTTACGTTTAAGGCTAGGCCGTATCAAAAAAGGGCAATGATGTCTCTGGGCGATACACGTCATGGCGGCGCCGCCCATTTAGTAATGGGGTTGAGTTACCGATACTGAGAATTACGCTATTTTTTCTGGTCGTGCCTATAGACCTTTTTCCAGTGATGTCACGATCGTGCTGGACCTCTGATGTGTTGTGATAGTAATGAGTGCATAGTGTTGTGATGGTAATCTACTTATTCAAGATAAAATAGTCAAGCATGCAGCATTCGCACGTGCGCTTGCACGTGGTTGAAGCTGCCCGTAGGAATATATATGATTACCATGGCCAGGGCGGTCCACACGTTGTGGTATTGTCTACATAAGCGTGAAAAAGGTCTATAGCCTGCAAGAGTTTTCGCACTATGTCTCACGGTTATTAAGAAAATCGAATCTCAGCAGCTAAGCCAAAGATACAGGTACTAGGTTTTCGGTAGCACCATGCAAAATAGGCCTATCTCAGTACTCCGGTTCTGTTCAGCGCGGCCAGAACCACGCCTACTCAGTGGCGTATATTCAGCTTTTGGTGCGTGCGTGCTCATTCCACCGGGGGGGGGGAGAAAATACATTGCCTATTTATTTGAAAATATTTATACCGATTAGTATCTTTCCTACTCACCTATGAAGTATTCTCAGTTCAAAAAAAATTAAAATTTTAAAAATCCGGGGGGGGGGAGTTGCCCCCTCCCGTTCAGCATTGGACTAAATGGAACTACCAGTAAAATGACGGAAAATGAGTACAAAGACAAATCCTGGATAAGGAATGCGCTGTCCATCTGTCCATCTACAGTTAAACCGTGGAGGTAGGAACATGGTTAAACAGTTACATCGATTTCCGGTGGATCCAAGATGAGGCCGAACCCGTGAGCGCAAGCTGTTCGTGAACAACACTGTACATGTATACAACAGTGTTGCCCATCAGCCCCTCCCCCCCCCCGTTTTCTGAAAGCTAGATCCGCCCCTGAGAATATTATTATCTCGTAAGAACGAACTTTGGAAAAAAAACACATCTCTTGGAAACGAAGTAGGAAAGAACACATCTCATAAAAATGGCTTCGAAAAATATGCTTCACTTAAAAAAAAAAATACACACTGGATGGCACTGCTGTGGCAGGGCTTAACATAAAAAATGTATGCACAAGTGTACAGTATGAAATACTTCACAGACATAAAACATACTTGGCTACAAAAGTAACGCAAGTTGATAACATGTGGTTTTTTTTAGTATCTATAGCCAATGCTGTGGTAATATATTTTAATAGCCGTAGTACCATAGTGGATGTATATCTTCAGGCAAAGTTCTTGGGTGATTTGATTCACTGAACCTGAAAATGGTGATCTGATAAATTTTCAGTGAATCACATGGTCGTGCTTTGATAGGCTAACTTGCACAGCGTTTGAGTTGTTGTAATTATTGTTCATAGAGTCCAGAACCGAATTTTTTTCAGCAAACGGACTAAACAGGGGACTGACACGGCTCGAGCCCACACTACTGATGCGGGCATGACAGCAAAGGATGTGGGCTCATCCCTTAGAATCAGACATCGTGTAAGAGACACTAGAGGTGTGTCAAATCGGTAGGCCGTAGGCCTCGAGTGGTGACGCCCAGTCAAGATCGGTACATCATCATGCAACTTCGACCCCATAATGCAGAAAAAGTGTTATTCTCAAAATGGAGGTTGTTCTTGAATGGACATAGCCATTTTTGTTCAGGAAATTGTTTCTGAGCAGCTGCTTCATTAATTATGACTGGTGCAGTCAGTTAATGCAAAAGTGCACCGGAGACATGGCTTACTTCAAAGGCTTTTGGCGCAAGGCGAACTTGAACACAAAAAGTAAGCTCTGGGAAGGAGACGCAAAACAATGATCATGTCGTCAGTGTGGATTGTGTGTTGGATGGACGGCTCATCACTCAGAGAAAAGTGTCCTACACAGATTTCAGAGGTGTCTCGTTTTGTTCAGTTAATGGTCGTTTTCTTTTATGTTGCACATACTCAGTGGTCTCACTCGAAGTCAGATAGCGAAACAAAAACACGTTTTCCTAAACTCATCACTGGAAAACTTCATGCAACACATTTTACACCTGACTGTCATCCAACACTTTGCCACAGATCAGACGGGGCTCGCTGTTTGTACTGTTTTTCACAAGCTCAAATTTCGAGACCTTTCTCTTTATGTATAAGAATTCTGGGTATTAATCATAAAATACTCATTCAGTCCTTCATCTATATGTTCATCATTATTACTTATGTTCATTATTTTTGAAAATCGTACTTTAACACACGTAGCCTTATAGTTTAGATAACATTTTCGGAGGGGAAAAGGAGCAAAATAATAACTCCTGTACCTCGTCCTTAAATTTCACCAAGGACCTGCCCTTTTTTGCATCCCCTCAAGGGTCTGGATCTGCCCTTGCCGTTGTCGCGGTGAACGATTCTTCGACTGTACTGTAGAGCACGATAGATCGGGAGGTCTCAGCATCCTGGTCTGGGCTGGTATCACCGCAGATAACCCTACTGATCTGCCGGTCAGCAATGGTTACCTCAATGCCCAGAGATTTGATACTGGGATGAAATTTTGGAGCCAGTCGTGAGGCCGTTTCTGAATGGACGCCCAAATATAACCCTGTTTCAACATGACAATACACGACCCCACGCCGCCAGAGTGGTTACCCAGTATCTCGAGGGTAATCACATTGAACTCCTATGGCCTGCCTTCAGTTCAGATTGAAGTCCCTTCGAGCTGGTGTGGGATGACCTCATCGCCGAATCGGGTCACGTCCACGTGGTGCCTCGAACAGCTTAAGAACTTGCCGCACTTGTGGCGCACTCTACTTCAGGTTACCTTCAGGAGGCTGATTCAGTCCTTCATCGACGCATCCAAGCGTGACTGCAATGAAAGGGCATACACCATATTAACCAGCTTCAACTCGGTTTCCACGATAATTTGAACATATTTAGTTCAAAATACTTACATTTGCGTTATTTTTTGGCCGAAGTGTACCTATTTATTGTTCCCCAAAACTGTGGTAATTGGTATCTTGGTAACTACCTTGCACACACAGACCCACTTTTTCTTCAGAATACATGTAAGTAAATAAAAATTTATGATATTATCAACTCGGTATCTTTATGTTCCAGCCAACCAAAAATGATCTTCCAGAAACAATTTCTTCAATGTTTTACACAAACAGAAATTTTCATAGTTTTCAACTCGACGAACCAATGACGTTAATTGCTGTCAGTGAGGACCCCCTCTGCAAATAAGACTGATAAATTTGAAGACCCTAAATTCTGGAATTCGCTTGCATTATCTGTTAGAGATTCGCCAACCATTTTTACATTCAAATCAAAACTCAAGCGTTTTACCTATAGCAAATAATAATGTTTGTGACCTTGTTATCTTCATCAGTAAATATTTGTCATTAATTTGCTTTTCAGTTTCTTTTACTTATACATAATGCTCAGAATCACTGTATATATTATTTGATTGATCATTCCTAAATAATATCATTAATCTGATGGGCTTTTCTTTTTCCTCGTTTGATAATTACCATCAAGCCCGCAGCTCAGATTCATCGTTTTTGTCATGGTGTACTTCGTATAGGTAAACTCGTCTGAATCTAGAACCAATCGACTGCAGGTGTGTAAATTTTTACAACATGCAATCTCGTTTCACGTAATAAGCTCATGAATCGAAAACAACGTGCGTGAACAAGGGCACAGAACATACATGTATTGCCAGAAGTGAAGGGTAATTAATTTGAATTTCGTTTTGTACCCATCTCCGGTTTTCCAGAAATTACTTCAGGAACATAAAGGTTAAATGCCGACGTTAGTGTTTAAGGATAGTTTCAGTTAAGAATCATTCTTCCGAAAGTTACCGAAGGTGATAGGACGACCCCTTGTAAAATCCCCGTACTAGTAGGCAGACCACGCGAGGTTTCCGGAAGCTGGGCGTACACCGTGAGGCGCACAGAGCTTTCACAGTAGAGTACAGCGAACTCATTCAATTGAGAATTTCTGCCCAGCACATTAGTATTAAAAGTGCACCCCCCGCAATTTCTATTGAAACCCCAAATTGATAATATTGTTAAAATATTTGTCAGGATCACACTCCTGCCAGTGGGTTCTGGGGCCTTCCGTGCGATGGTATAATTGTGAAAATTAGGGTAGAAAAAGTGACCTAATTTCCCAATAAAGTAGAGGGAAGCCATTTGAAAAACGGCTGCGAGAAGGCTTGGGATTCCTCAGTTTTCGGGGGTGGTTTTATTTTGTGTACATAATTTTCTAAAATGTAATTTGCTTACCCACCAAAACTTGAAAAGAAAGATTAAGGGCAAAACTATAATTTGATTTTATTTGAGAAACCTCAGTGATGTTAGCTTACATGTTATTGAGCCGGAACTATGTTGATTTTACTGTTTTCAATGGGGTTTGAATTTGTTCATTGCACCCTAAACAGCTCTGAATGCTTTGAGTACATGAATTTCGCTCTTTGCCGGGCGCTCACTACAAGCTGGGCGACGAGCGAATACACCGCTGATCTCCATTACGAATAATTATGAAGATTGTGGAACACACGAATGTGCTAGCGCCCTCAAGAGCGCCGAGCAGGAAGTTTCGGGAAGTCCGTTATACCGTGGCGTGCGGAAACAGGCTTGGCCGGCCGGGACGAGTCCGTCAAATAGTTTCCTTTTTTTAATTTGAAGTTACGGAAACGTTTTGTAATTCCAGTCTTATCATCAGACATTTCTGGTAAGTAATTATATATGCACGCATAACCGTGATGGGTGTAGTCCACTAATTCAAGCCCCACTGAAAACTGTAAAGTAAGCATTGGGTCCAATGCTTAGGCCCCTCCTCTCCTTCCTTCATGGTTGGACCATGGAGGTAGATTCTACCTCCATGGTTGGACGTACCCTTCGTATTCCGTGGTATGGTCAGAGAGTCCACCTGGGCTAAGGCCCCTACCAACATCCCTGAGGTATCTGAAACACACGTTAAGTTATTTTATGGTCCCTAATCTTTCACTTTCTTTTCATTTTTTTGTGGGTTAACTGGTGGCATTTTGAGTTATTCCCACAAAACAAAATTATGCCCCCGAAAATTTTCCGAAGTCTGCTTGCAGCCATTTTTCAACCCTCAACTTTCTTGTGAAGTGGCGGCGGGGCCAAGTGGGATGGGGCGATGTGGTTAGTGGTGAAGTGGTTAAAGGCGATGTTGAAATTGGGCGAAGTGACTGTAAAGCGTTTACTACGACGATTTACTCCCAGTTGTTTACCGATGCTTAACACAGTCAAAATCTGTTTGGTCAGAGCAAGGAGGTAGACCATGGTCTAAGAACCAGATGGTTATAAAGACAGTGATCCCAACTGCTGTGTATCATATCAGTGACTTTAAATTGTGTCAGTCATACTGAAGCCTTGTGTATGCGTGATCGCCATGAATGTGTCGGTAACAACAGGCGTTGAGTATTTTCATGGGTGGCCACCGGTGCATCTTTGTGTGGGGATTGGACGAGCGAAAGGTGTGTGTGCCACATGCCATGCATCTTCAGCATTGTCATGCTCTGGGGACCAACATAATAACAATGTCTGGTTCCCAGACCAAACAGGTCCTGACTGTGTTTAGCTTCAGTCAAACGATCGGGAGTTAATTGCTGTAGTAAACGAATGGCCGATGTGTGCAACAAAATCGAAACCTAAATTTGACGGTTAGAACAAACTGGAAATCGGCCATATTAGTAAATCAATGATCTGATGCAGTGAGTCAGCCATATACGCAAAACGGATTCATAGAGGATGTTTTTGAGTAGTCTCTACTTTTTTGATGGACCGTTGTGGGGCCAAGGATATACATGGAGGCAGACCAGTAGACTAGCCCCCAGTCTGGGGCTAGGGTATGCCATGCCATGCCTTCTTGAACATGTTGAACAGTTAAAAAAAAGACCGATGTGAAGTTAGTTCCTTGTTCGACATATCGACATTCACTGTTGAATAAGTAATCGTTTGATATTCCAAAGCTGAATAAGTAACCGTTTGACATTCAGACTCTAGAAATGTTGGAGTGCAGAAGGGACAAAACACCAAACTGCACCAACGTACATATCCATTCACATCTCATCATTCTCCGTTTCAGCAAGGACTTCTTGCAACCTGGGGTCAAACAAGCCCTGAAATGTAGGTGGCGCAGTTAGTGTTTGTCCCTTGTGCACTTAATCATTTTCAGGGATGTGCATTCGGAGCGGTTATCGAATCTCAAATAGTTACTTATTCAACATTGGAATAAGCACCGTCGATGTATTGATATTAATGTTATGTGTTTGATATCGATATTGCCGATGTTAGTTATTTGGTCATATCGGTATATCGAAAATATCACATTTTGGAGAAATATTAGAACTTGGAAAACATTGATATTGCAAAATGTACCGAAAATATTGCTACTGAGGAACAAACTTTATTAAAAGTACGAGAGTGCATCGTCACATTACCGTAATTTTCGATATTCCACGGCTTATGTTAGTTCTCATGCTAAGTGAAGAATTCCCTGTAGCTTATACTCTGGGTGGTTTATACAGCGACATTTGAAGAATAAGTTCAGTCGCCTATCCCGCGCTCAATAATTTGGGTACTTTTTGCCTTGAAAATATCACAAAGTTTGTCCTCCAAAACAGAATTATTTGCTAACCAAACATACGTAGACTAGCAGCGTGCTGATGATATCGCTGTGCAGCATGTATCCCATCCCGTGTAGGCAACGTACACAATACGGACGCTAGAACAAGTCGTCAAAGTGAATTGGATCACACCATTACGATGTATAGGGGTGTACCCTTTAGAACAATTTGCCGGTTATAATACCGTGAAAATTGAAATGAATAACATTTGATATATCAATAATATAAAAAACCAATATATTGGTATCGGCCAAAATACGATATCAACGGTGCCTACGTCGGAATATCAAACAGTTACTTGTTCAACACTGAATGTCGAACGTCAAAAGGAGGAATAAGTACTCATACCACCAAAAAAGGCATTACTCCGTAGGCCATATTGAATCCTAACTTGTGATGTGTTCCTTACGCTTTGAGAAAAAAAAAACCGCAATAACCCTCTGAGTTAAGTAGAAACTGCACTTTCTCAATCAAATCTTCCCCTGAAAATCCATCAGCTGCACCGCGACCCCCCATCATATTCTCCCACATCGCACAGTTGACAAACTCATCATGTGACATACCAGTACAAATATCTTATGCCCATACACCGTACAGGTACATGTCCATGTCGTTTAATTTGCCATGCACGACCCTAAGAAAAAACCCGTGTTCAGCTTTCGGCAAGTTTTCAAACAATGGAGATACTAAAAATCATTGATGCAATGGACATTCAATGCAAGAGTTCATATGACTGTTGAGTATGGTGAAAGTTACTAGAATCACATGTAGTGAGGTTCTTGCTTTTAAATTTTTTGTTAACTTGTTGGCTCCTGTGTTTTTGACAAACCCTCCAAACAAGTCAAAGTGTAAGTCGGAAATCTGGTTGAAATTCCTTTTCCAGAAATTGTCTGAAAACAAAATTTGTGCAACAAGAGACTTGCATATTACTTGGTATTGAAATAAATACTAGAACAGTGTATCTCAGCATGACTTTCCATGTGCAAAACCAAACCTGTCTGTTTTTATCCTTTACTTATGTTTTTGGCATTAGAAATATGAACATATTATGATGGAATAAATCAGGCAGACGGGTCTGGCCCATTTTGAAAAATATCATATGTGTAGGTCACATTCATCAATAAAGGACATAAGTTTCCAAGTGTCATGTCAATTGTGGTCGGATAGGCTTGATATAAAACGTGGCTTGCAACTGGAGACTTACATGAAAATGGTGTTCAACTTGACTTGACCTGTCAGCTGTGGGGAAAAACTTGGGCTTGACCTGTAGACACACGACTGTGGGCTTGACCAGTGCAAAAAACGACTTGGCTGCAGCACTTGACTAAAGCCACCTGTTCTTTCCTCCTCAGAAACCTGCGTTGTATCAGCACCAGCGCCTTGCAACAGAGGCACCGATGATCACCATCATCCTCAGCATCGTCCACCATCAGCCAGCATGAACAGTGTCATCTCAGACAAGGGCCTCTCCTGGCTAGCCTCCAAGATGGGCTCAGACTGGGAGCAGGTCGGCATGCAGTGCTTTGGGATGTCTAAGAACGATATCTTCCAGTGCAAAGCGGACAACCCCCATTCGGTACAGAATCAGATCTTCAGCATGCTGCACAAGTGGAAATGCCGTAGTGGGTATAAGGCAACCTACGCCCAGCTGCTTAACATGTTGGCTGAATTCCCTGACTTTGACAAGACAATTTTGGAGGAAATGCATGAAAAAATACCTTCATTTTGAATTCTGCATTTGGCAGATCCCTGGCAAATCATCTGGAGGAGAAATGGTCTACATTTTATGTACATGTGGAATTGACGGCCGACCCCCTTTGGCTGGGTGAAATTTTGGTTTATGCAAGCCGCACTGAATTTGAAGAAGAAAAGGAAAGATTCAAATTGCTTGAAACTGTGACCAGTCATCCACCTTGTCGTCCTGAAAACTTAAATCAGTGATGAGTCTTCCAAGGAAGATAATGTTGAAAGTATAGTTAGTGAATCATGAATGATAGTAACTGTTTTTGCATTTGTGATACTGTTGTCGCTCATACACATAAATCATGGTGTTCTTTTCACATTCAAGACGTTTGCTATTGCTATTGTTACAAGATATCTCCAGTCATCCACATCTACATGTATTGTGTCCATTCATGAGTGCCATCAGTAGTGTAACGCTAGGGGTTAGGGTTCAGGATTCAACCCCCCCCCCGCGCAAAAATTATTAAAGAAAAAGAAAGTAAAGGAGCCAATGTATTATTTGTGAGTTTAATGTTGCCAATGTGTTTGAGAGAAATGCTGCAAATGGTCTTAAAATGTAGCCTTGTAGATTGATAGGTGTATTTCAACAGCACTGTACAAAATAAGGCACTTCATAGCATGTGTGCAAAGCTGACCCAATCAGTGCATCGATTTACACACACTGACACACAGGTTTGAGCTGGTGTGACATCAGGTGCTTTGTTGATCTTGTTTTTTTGGAAATTCCACACTGGCTCATTTCCCCTAACCCCACCCCAGGAGGCTTAACCCGAACTTATATGAATTGTCAAACCCCTACCCCTAGGAGCAATATTTGAAATTGTCCATTGCCAAGTGAACTTGGACTTGTGAAATGAGACCAAATCTGAACATCAGACCTTGGACACTAGGTAAAGGATGGATTGGTAAAACATATTTTCTCGTCCAATTAAAACAATTCTCGATAATTACCGCCAACCCCAGGGAAACCATTTTTCACCTCTCTACTGATACATGTTGTTAGGCCAAACTAAAAGTAGTTGTGTTCTTGTTAACCTCCCCCCACCCTAGACAGTCACGTAGAACTATATCTTTTTATTCGATATATTAGTAAGAAATAAAAGCATGGAATGCCGACCGAAAGCAGAACTGTGCGTAAATCATCAAGTATTTTTCATTCTTTCAATTTTTAAGACCGTTGGCTTAAAGGAATAGCTTGCTGTCGGGTATTAAAGTTCTGATACAAAATGTCTTGTTAGTAGCATAACTGGGAATTTGGGAAAGGGGGATTTGGGAGCTATATCAGGATCCTGACAAGCCAAATTGAGACGGCAGATAAATTACTAATGGCACGGCGAAAAGGTGTAAAAATAACGCACATCTGGGATGGTGCAAATAGATGTACAATCTTGAATGTTGAAAAGAAAACTGTTACCATCTCAATTCTTACAGTGCCACAGCAAGAATTCGTGATTAATGTAAAGGAAAGAGAAATTCCATTCTGTATTAAAAGTGAGAAACTTGAACTATAATGTTAACTGTGACTTGCTTGCCAGCTATATAATTCATCTTGCTAAGTTGAAATCTCGACCCCGCTTTCTCGGCCAGGCGGCAAGTCCTGGTAAGTTATCTCAATTTCAGTAAGTGGACTTGGCGACAAAATTAACCACAGCAATTTGTCCTAGAATTTACTTCAAGTTACCGACTTGCCTTAGCGTTTTTACTTAGGGCTTTTGCTTTTAAGTTAGCATGACTTCTACTTGGTAACTTTATTCTGTGCAACATCCTCTTCCCCTGTAAGGTAAGAGAAATATCTGACTTTTTTGGACAACATCATCGGAAAGTGTGCTTAAAAACACTGTTTTGTTAACATGCTTTTTTCTGACAAATAGGGGCACAACTGCTGTGATGTCACTACAGGAAGACAGCAAAACATCTAAATTCTGAGACGGGGGGGGGAATCGATCCCCACCCCTTTAAATACGCCCCTACTGACTAGCGCAATGACTCCACTCATTAACCATGGAGGAAGGAACGCATGCATTAACCCTCTTGACCCATGGAAGTAGGAAACGACTGCCCCCGTGCTTAAATCGATTAAATCGACACGACTTGTTACAAAATTTAGCGACTCGATCTTGACGAATGAATTTCACGTGAGGATTCCCGGTGCCATGATTATGTGTACATGATGATAGGGTCATTGTTGAAGAAGTTTTCATTTGTATATTAAAAAAATCTAAAGGCACAGTAGGTGCCGCCGCCTACCGCTACGGGCATATTTGAAAAATTCGAGGGCCTAACAAAATTGAGGGCCTACTTCTTTAGAAAAGTTTCATCGTTCGGAAGCCTCAAACTATGTTATGAAGCTCATAGTTTCCTCCTGAAACCAATACAAAATTTGCGGCCTCTGAAGCAGTTCTGGCTTTTGCCCTTTTAAGCAAGTTTGTCAAGAGTCAGAAGTTTTAGTGTTTTTTTTTTTTACTCTGGCCCGACAAAATCATTTTCCTAACAGGGTTTGCGCGCTCATGATCGATCAGGTCATGCCAAGCAGAACCAAAGCGCCAGGTTTTTCAAATTTCGGCTTCGTTTTGTTGTCGGCGTCGAAAATGGCTTGCAGAAAGATCTTTCCATATTTTTGTCATTATCATACAGCTTGATGATTTTCTACCAAACAGTGACTGCTATTGTGCAAAACGCTCTGAAGTTGCGAGGAGGTAAAAATATAGAGCTGTGTATATAGCTGAACTCAATGGCTATAAAACTGGCAATCCATCACAAAGTCAAAGTCGAGATTCGGAAACTCACCACATTGCCTGAACATCCGGGATTTCGTGATTTGCTGCATCCGAATCACTTGGCTGCGGCTTGAAGTAATACATGACTCTGCGGGAACCGTTTGAAGCCATTACCGTAGACTCGCGCGTAATGTCTAGCCGCAGCCTTATTTCGTTACACGCTGCTGATCATATCCCTTGCGCACGCTCGCTCGCGAGGCCTCAGGATCGGGGATGGGAAGGGAAGGTACTTTCATGACTGGTATCCTGCAATTGCAGTCAATTCTGCTGCCAGCTTGCCAGCCTTGCCTAATAAATACGGTCGTTAACCAACGAAGTTTTGTTATTTCGACATCGCGTTGTTGGCTCGTCATCCATATGCTATGAATTTGATGAACACAGCCGATTGTGAGTGAAAATCCCTTCAATTTTGCGTAAATACTTGATTCTTCTCGTAAAAGCTATCAAGATGATGTACATTTAATGTTCTTAATGACAATCATGTTGTATTTTTACTGCAGAAATAAGTGAAACACCTTTTCTTTCGCGTGAGACTTCGATGAGAATTTCGGGTTCAGGCAAAACGTGGCTGCGCTGAGCCAGACTGAAGGGAAACATCGCAGTTCACCTTTCTAGCAATAAGGAACCTCCAAGCCCAGCAGTGCAGTGACTTGAGCGCTGTCTTCTTATCTAAATCGTTGAAAAAATTCAAAAGTGTTTATGTCTTTTTGCAGTTGTTACGGTGAGTATTAAAATACATTTTGCCAGACGATGGTACCACAAAGTGGTTTAGGCTATATTAATAAATAATTTTTTAGGATAACTCCAGTCCCCTTTGAGTTGTTGAGATGTTAGGCCTTATAAAGAACTTCGACAAATGACATTTGACTGGCCGACTGTATTATGACCTGTCAACATTTCCTTTTTTTGAATGAAAGAAACACTTAGATTTTAAATGCTTTTGTGCATACACAAAACTTTCTTCCTGCTGCTTTTGTTCGATTCCTTATCCACAGTTCTGCTGAATCACTGAGGAAATTCATATAGTTCAGGCAAATTTAAATTGAAAGTAATTTTGAACCTTAGTTTGAATGACTACGGCATATTTCTTGGTATCAAAAACTAAACTGGTTCTCTGACTCTTTGGGTTTATGGAGCACATTCAGTGCTTTGGATATCAGTTAATAATAAAGAGGCCGATCAATTTGTGCGTGATCACTACTTAACGCACGTGTGGAGTCTCAGTACAGCTGGTGTATTACACAGTCCGCTCTCGCTTCATCGTCAGTTCCGACATTAAGTAATTTTCATTCATATTTTATTTCATATTGTTTTATTTGATAAAAATACTCCTGACTCAAACAGTAAGCACTGTCATTTCTGCACAAAAGTCATTTAGGGCGACTGGGTGTCAGATACAGTCATGTAAGTGTACATCAACAGTGCTTCCACCTCAGAAGACAAAATTCCTTCGGTCTCTTGTTCATGGGTTTGGTACAGTAATTTTCAAAATTAGATCAGAAATAAGAATTCCAATGAATTAAAAAGTAGACATTGCATAAATTTTGAGTCAACTTTGAACTGTACAGTGAGCTATCAACGGTACCCTCCCTGCGCCGCACAGTTGACGAACCCTTTACATCACATACATTTCTGCTATGCCCGTGTAGTTGAGTTGAACGAATTTGCGTGGTAAGACCGCGTGATCCGAAAGTAGGGGGAAAGGCTTTCAGTTTTCGGTCAATTAACAAAAAAGGGAAACTCAAAAGTCATTTTGATTAAACAGACATTAGATGCAAAGTTTATATGACTGTTCAATACAAAAAAATATTTGAAATCACTAGTAGTGAGTGACCTGTCACCCCGTGAATTTTTGTCGTTTTTCCGCTCGCGTGAAGTAGGAAATATCCGGAACTAGGAAAACGTCTGCTGTGCAACGGGTGGAGTGGATAAGAAAAGTACAGTGTAGCTGTCGATCTCTGAACTGAAGTTTCATGTGTGACCACGGGACTGGGTTTTCAGTGGCACGGTGATTTTTTTAAAGCAGTTCAGCCCTTCAGTATGAAATTTCACAGACATTTATACATGAATTTTTGTTCCTAATTTATTTCAATTTTTTTGGGGGGGTATCCGGCCCGAAAAAATGGAACCGAGTTTTGATTTCGACAGGCACAGGCGTACTTATTTTCATGGTAAAAATTTATGCAGTTTTACACGACATACATGTAATATTCTGTAAATGTGCACTTGCTTGCCGAAAAGGGTCTGGGATAGATGTCAGAGTAAGCAGTGTCTGTCACGCCATGCTGAAACGATAGTGGACCTTGTCACTAAAAGTACGTCGGTGTGTGACTTTTTACTCGACACTTCATTGCCAACCACAATGCAGAAGTCGATGCCAATACAAGATTTTTTTAAACACCAACTCACACAAAGGATTTTGTTGTGCTGTTTGTGGAAGTGGGGTGGACTGAGAGCCCCATGCCTACAAATTTTGAGAAGTTTTGGCGGGGGAAACTAGATTAGGCCAATTTCCATATACAGTCGAACCTCGTTAATAAGAGGTCCTTGGGACTTTACATATTACGCTATTATAACAGGAACCTTGTATTATCAGGAGTAGAAAACAGTGAAAAACAAAGACTTGGGACCTAAACTTTTCCTTGCATTGACAGTGCTCTTCTTATTTAGGTTTGAGTGTATCCTGGTTATCACTGCCTTTCCTTTGCGGTACCACCTGGAATATGTTTTATTCACTTTTGACTGACTTTACCTCTTGATTGGTGTGGGTGGGGGAGTTTGACTTCCTTTGCAGGGAGGGCAGCGTTGCTGCTATTTCTAGGCTTCCACTTTCCAGAATGCACTTGGTGATTTCTTCGTAGGAAGTTGCCATTTGCGGAACTGGCACCAGTCCTTGATTCTGTGACATTGCAAAACCGGCAGCATTAATTCACGTGTCAAATCCATGATGTCATTTGAAATAACACGCATGTATTGTCAGTAGCCACTGGAAAGCCTAAGGGGTAAAGTTGCTTCCATTGATGACTGTCTTCTGGTGCGTCATGGCCTTCGAGGTTTCTTAGTGTCAAAACTGAATTAAAGCTAAAGGTTGTATTTCCAATGTTATCAATGGGGGGGGACCCGTTTGTGGGGTTATGTGACCCCTGGATTGAAGCAGTGTATTACTGGAAAGCATGAACAGTACCTTAGCTTGTATTTTACAGTGATGTTTTTCCGTGGTCAGTGCACATGTAGTTCTGTTGTACTAACCCTTTAAAGTTAAATTACATTTTGTTTAAACATGCCATAGAGGCTTAATTCACAACAAAACCAGTTTTCAGATCTGAAAAAAGTAACTTTTTAAACGAAATATAATTTCCATTTGGGTGGAAATTCCAGATGTACGGATTGGAGTGGAACCAACAGTTTTTAAGTGTGGGGCATACATGTAAGTTGTACAATGTATGTGCATGGCAGTATATGTGTGTTGGTATCAGTGGGTCTGCTGTCTGAACTGGTGCTGACACTTCCAACAAATTCTTGGCAAAAAACTGAACATACCGGTACATGCAGACCACAGCACGTATGCATCTTGAGTACTCTCCTACATTTTCTAGACACAGGGCTCTGATTATGGGCACACACACATAACCCATGCTGTACGTAAGACTTTGGTTGGACAGCATCCGGCGCCATGCTATCATGAGTGTGGTATTGGTCTCGGGTCACGGGACAGGGTTCAAGCAACTTGTCACCAGTTTCATGAAGTGGCAAACAGCAGCGAGCCACCAAATGCTGGGTCTTGGCAAAATCAAATGCAGTAGAGTTAACCACTCTGTGAAAGTAGTGATGGTCATGCTCGAATTGTGTGTTCGAAGTTTGATTTTGTATTTACATTTATACTCTCTGCAGGAATATCTTTGCGTTATGTATTTGGGCTTTGGGGAAACAGACAGTTTTCAAAATTGATGTTGACTGCATCAGTTGAGTAGTTTTGTGGCAGCGAGTGGATGTTGAATCTTGAGACAGTCATGACTGTGGTAGAAGTCAAGTCACCTGTGTACATATTCACCTGTGGTTTGGGGAGTTGGCGTTTCAGTGTGATGGGGCTGCTGTTTTAGTCGGTATAACGGAAGTTGATTTGGCAGTGGATGGGTACCACATCATCTCGCGGTTATGTTGTCATGTTTATTTTGTCCAGTAGCACAATAACAAGCGCAGCATATGGGTTCCCCGAAGCCTTTGTGTTGCTATAGCCACAACCATCGTTTGATGACTGAACTGAATCCTGGTATGCGTCATCTCCGAGACGGAATTGCAGTTGTTTTGTAATGTCTTGACAATATAAAAATCAATTAAGCAGCCGTCTAATCAGACCTACTGATGAGAGCCTCCTTTGGGGTAGTCCAGCAAAATGGTCAAGATTTACTATCTGAAATGGACCTTTGTTACCTTGTTCAAGAGTTTGAAAATGTGCATGGAGTGTTGTCACTGAATGCACTGTGGTTGTAGTCTAGTATTGAATTAGCATCAGAGTTACATCTTTGTCCATTTTATACCATCAGCAGTCTTGGTATTGGTTTCATTGTAAAGTACATCTTGGAAGGTAAGTTACCCTGTCCAGCTATAGAGCAAAAGGTGTGTGCGTTTTTGTGTCACACTTGTTAAATTCCAATTGTAAATTTGAAAATTAGAATGGCTGCTTTTCCCTCTAAATTTTGTCTTTCTGCTATTCATTCAAAGCTTTATGTGAAAAATTCCCTGGTGCGGGTAAGTGACTGCTAGCCATTTCGTGAAGCAGAAAACCCTCATGCCATTCCAGCAGGAACTGCTTATTTGTGCTTTATCCCTCGCTCACAATTTGCCATATGATTAGTTTTGTATAGATTGATCTGCGTTTTAGGGACACGGGAGCCCCTGAGAAATAAGAACTGCCCGACATAGACTTGCCCTTGCAGGTACCTTGCTGTCATGTCCCAAAGATTGAAAGAGATGGCATAGTGTGTGTTAAGTGTTGGGAGTTCCCAGGAAAACAAGATCTTATCTTTGGAGGTCAGCAGCTCCCCATTTCCTGTAGCCTGGGACTGTTCCCTCTCCTGAGGGTCTGCCACAGTGTAATACTCCCTAGATGCGAACCAAGTGCGGGGTTAAAGTAGAGAAGGAAAGTAGAGAATGAGGGAAACAACCTTGGGGATAAGTGAGAGTCCTGTTTAATCATTTGCCTGTTGTGACATACCTTGTCTTCCTTGAAGATCATACAGACTGGCTGAAGAGGAAGTATGCTAATTGTTGGATGTGCATGTCCATACTGTGTTTTACCTAGTTGAGGTGACATCAGAACCTGTTCTTGATATACTCGGTATTAGTCCTAACCCTCCAAGGGCACTTGGCCAGAAAGCCTGCCAGACACCATCAGACTGCATCATTTGTCAAAGCAGCTTGGCTGTCCCCTGTAATAAGATCCAACAGGTCAACTCTCCCCAAGGCCAGGCAGCCTGGGAGTCTGTGGTTGCCAGTTACCAGAGGATCCAACAGGACCACCCTCCCCAAGGCCAGACAGCCTGGAAGTCTGTGGTTGCCAGTTACCAGAAGATCCAACAGTGGCATGGTTCAATGGGACTAGCTCCCATAGTCTCAACACGGCCAGTTTGTTGGGCTGCTGTTGATTGCCAAGTGCATCAAAGTGCGTCAGATTTCTCCACCTGATGCACTTTGCTGCGTCTGGCAGGGTTTTTTTTTTTCTTTTTAAAGAGCCTGTAGGTGTAGTTGAACTGAATACGGTCATCTCTTCAGGTGCTGAAGGTAAAGCTTTGCAATCCACAGGGGAACTTGTGCTGCAACACTCTTTGTATTTGAAAAATAGATTAATTGATACTATGGGATGTGCTTGCGCCCACAGATACTTTGGTGAGGGTAGCCAGTGCGAAACGCCCACCGTGCCGTTCACGCACAAAGCCGCATCCACACATACATCGGCATCCACCAGACGATTTTATGTCTTCTATACCGAACTGTCCGTCTCATCCCTTAAATCACAACAAAAGACTCAAGTGGAGTAAAAACAGACAAGACAACAGCGACAACACCAGAGGGCAGTCAACATGGCGCTCAACGTCAACCGCAACGTCACTGACCAGTTCTACCGCTACAAAATGCCACGGCTCGTAGCAAAGGTAGGTTTGTGGAGGGCACTTGAAGTTTGAAAATATTCCTACGTGGCCACTCCATCACAGAGCTTTAGCCCCCAACCATTATTCAATTAGTAAATGCAGGAAGGTAGTTAACTTCACCCAGCGGATGATGGATGGCGTCTTTTCATATGCGGCTGGATTAGCGAGCAGCGGAGCTGTGTCGCTCATCAATGGGGCCCTGGAGTCCTATTGTCCGCAGTGCTCATCTGCGGATGTGCTATGCCCAAAACAGTGGTGTACCGTTTCAAAACAGTGCCGGATTACCTTCGAAAAATGGAAGTCGAAAAATGATGGCAATTGCCAGCAGCAGGTCCTTTGTTCAGAGTACAGTCTTTTGTTACACAGACCAGCTCTTTTGTCCGAAACCGGGCACCCCGGCTCTGCGTATAAACACACGGTGCTGGAAAGCAGGCACCCCGGCGGGAAGTGTTTAAGATCTCTCTTATAAAGGTTAAAGGTTGAGGCTGTGGTTTTTAATAGGAACTCGAACATCAATACTTCAGTGATGTTACATATAAGAGATGACTTATGATCAAAAGCCACTGCAGTTATTAACCTTAAAAAGTATGTGATATTTTTAAAGTCGTAGCTGGGGGGAGGGGGGATTGCTGATGCTGTTCCCCTTCCCTAAAGATCTCAGTGGCTTATGAGCAATATCTTCGAAATTTGCCGTGAAATAAATGTAATGTGAGAATATCCTCACCATTTTCTGCCTGGCAGGTGGAGGGCAAAGGCAACGGAATCAAGACAGTCATCTCCAATATGGTGGAGGTTAGCAAGTGCCTGTCTCGACCACCAACATGTAAGTTCCTTCGAGGACTTGCTCCATTTGCATACTGAAAATCGTGCAGTGGGGGGGGGAGGGGACATGCTAATATTGATAGCGTAAGCATTGCTGGCCTGTTATGTAACTGTGTCATGTCTGTGATTTGTACTACTCATTCCACAAATCAGTGCTGAAAGTCCTGCTAGGCTCTCAGGGCTTGTCCCTCTTAGGTGATCAGCGGCAGGCACATCAAGCCCTGACAAGGGCCAAGAGTTACCCTTCAGCCCGAACTCTTGTAACTCTTGTAGGATTGACGATGGCACCTCAAACTCTTTAAACCTTCCAATGGGGTTTTATGGGGCTTGACAAAGAATGTGGCATTTAGTAGTTTTCTGCACAGGGAAGGATTTCAAACGATTGAGAAAAGTTTCCAAGCAACTAACCCTACAGAGTTAGGATTACCACTTTTTAACAGAGTAGACTGACTCCATTCTTGTCAACCGTTAGACGGAATCGCAGTATTAACATTTTGATCAGAAGACTTTGTATTTGCAAGTATCAGTAGAACACCAGTCAACTGCACGGAAGTCGTTTTCAATCTTTACAGATCCAACCAAGTTCTTTGGCTGCGAGCTGGGAGCGCAGACTCAATTTGACTTTAAGAATGAGCGCTACATCGTGAATGGTTCCCATGATGTGGCCAAGCTGCAAGACCTTCTGGATGTTTTCATTAAGAAGTTTGTGCTGTGTCCCGAGTGCGAGAACCCAGAAACTAACTTGGTAAGCCAAAACGTGTGAATGGCTGCTGCCATAAACCAGACTGTGGAAAGAAGGGTTATATTGACATTTGTGTTGGTCATTGTCTCGCAGGAATCTGGGGAATTCCTTTCAGACATCTTGGGGGGATGTGTTCAGTAACAATAGTCTGGAATGTGTATAGGGATTGGACATGTTGGGGGGGTACCCCTCAGTCTCATTTCTTGCTGGGTATATATATTTAAAGCCTGACCTGAGCAGGAACCAATCCATCGAAATCTGCCTGTATGTCATAGGAAAGAAGGGAAGCTTTGATCCTAGAAGCTTTGAAATGCAGTTGAAATGTTGAAAATAAACATAAAAAATAGAAATCACTCGGTGAATGGAAAGAAACCTTCCTTGGTAATGACCAGTCGATTCTACTTTAAATTTTCTTACGTTGATAATTCAACATCAGGGCATTTTTCTGGTCAACAGATTGTAAGAAAAGGAACCATTGGGCAACACTGCGTTGCCTGCGGCCATCAGGGCATGATTGATATGCGGCACAGGCTGACCACCTTCATTGTCAAGAACCCACCAGAGCATGACCCCACCTCTATTGGCTCCAGCAAGACGGAGCGTAAGTCCCGCAAGAAGGAGACGTCCAATACTAGCCAGAACGGGGACGATGGAATCGATCCACTTGCATTGGTGAGTTGGAGGAATCATGACCCGTTGACAGCGCTTGCGTGACTCCAGTGGGCTTTTTGATCTATTCCAGTTCCATCCACAAATCTTGGTTCTGACTGAATTGACTTGGAATATCCCAAGCAATCATCCTTTTTTTTCAGGGAGCCTTCCTTGGGGATGGGTTAAGATCCGTGTTGATGCAAGTCCCATCTTTCCTTTTGGCAATGACCACTGAAACATTGTCATGGGGAAGGGTCACAATGCTCATACGTGGTACCACTGTGAGTGACCAGAAGAAAGTCCTACTTCCTAAGGCCAAAAGGCTAAGGGAAATGGGAACCTCTTTTGGTCACTCAACGGCCGGGGGGGGGAGGCAAGAACCAGTGACGGAATTATGCCAGTCTTCATGTACTTAATAACACTCTCCTGTCTAAAATAGAAGGAGGAAAAAGGGACTTTTCAAGGTTTAGTAATTCATAACCTCCAGAGACTGCTGCAAACACTCAAAAGGTTTTGAATTTCATTCCCTTTCGGGGCAGTGTGCTCCAGACAGGCATCTAGGCCATGCGGATGCAAATTTCATGCACGAGCTTATATTTTATGAATACTGTGCGACTTTGGTTTCAGCCAACCAGGATAAAAGAACCGGCAAAAGTTACGTCATGCAAATATGGACCACTTCGAGAGGTGCAGTGAAACTGACCTGCCGAGGTGATCTACGTAGCGTACTCTTTTTTTCTGAGGTGAAAAAGGAAACTTGTGCGCTCCATGGGTCAGCGAGGGAGGCTAGTTTTACTACGCCAAACAATAAAGCAGTCCTTTTGTTTTATATCACCTCTCCCACAAATTCTGCTTGATTTAAGTGACAGCCGATTAATGTAATTTAAGAGCATTTTCGAAATGAGTGGATTTGGTGTAGACTTTGGTTTTGCTGGTTCCAGCCATTTTGAAACATGTTCAAGCTCTGACTGGAACCAGCGACACTGAAGTCTAAGCCGAATCCACTCGTTTTGAAAAGACTCTAAATATAATTTAAATGTACTTCTCTTTTTCAGTCAGGCATGCAGCTGAGCCGTCAGAAAAGCACAAAGACATGCAAAACCACTCAGAATTTTGTACAGTATTTGTCACTTTGTGATGGCACACTTGAAAGGCAAAAAATGAGGAAATCAGCTGCTCCCAGGAAATGTTGCATACCTTTGGAATATGAAATTTATTGAAAATTCACGAGCACTTTTTCTTAACTCTTTGCAAAACATTTCACCCTATTTTTGCTAGCACTTGGGAATCTGCACAGCGCGCACACCCATATATGCATTTTTTTTACGCATATAGTACTTAGATTGCTAGGGGGTAATACTTTGATATTTAATGGGTGTGATTCTATTTACTATTGCATAGCAGATGCAATGTGACTAGCTCTCAGCCAATCAAGATACAACGTCAGCGCATGAGATGTATTAAGGTTTTATACAGTATCAATCAGTTTGGTTCACTTTGCAGGTCATACCAACATGTGACAGTCAAACACGCATATTGCCAGGAAACTGCTTTATTCAATAATGAATTCCGCATAGAAATCCACTCTCCACTTTGTTGCACACCTTTTGTTTGTAGAAGGATGACGATGATGACTGGTCCGTGGACACCAGTGAAGATGCCGTCGCTGAGCGCATGCAGAGCCTGACCAGTGGAGCCAAGGGGATCACCCTCAATGATGACCTGGGCAAGTCTCCCAAAGAACGACTGGATATGTTGTACAATTTTGTCAAGGTAAATGGCTTGACTGACCTCCTTTAGCATACTTCAATGTGGATTCTCCCCAGTTGTTTTCCTGAACACATTGCAGGTGACAGCATATCTGTCCTCTTTGGACTCGTTGATCACAATATGTTAAGGTTGGACATCGACCCGCCATTTTCTTTGGCAGGAGTGCGACAAACTTCAGAAAGTTAACATTAAATCTGCACCTTAAAATGTATGTTTGTGACTCAAAACTTCACTCTTTATCGAACACTTCCGAGGGCCCATTCAGCTATGATACACCAAGCTTACTAGGTTTGATTTAATTCAAGAAATATGTAAATTAGTCTTCCATTTTGCTGCCACAGTTTCATTGTTTCGCCATGCAGTACTAGCCTTGTCTCAAGGCGTCCATGCGGATTCACAGACTAAATACAATAGTCATATGTGTAAGAACTTGTTTGTGCCTTGATTTCATTGCTAGTACAGTGCACGTGTGAACTTTAACCCTAACAGTCCTGAATCCTCCAATTTTAATATGATTTCGCACACACCCTAGGGAGTTAGGGTTAATGTACTGCAATGTACCGTACTGCGCTGCTGCGCTGTGCCGGCTGCTGCTGCTCGCATGGGGCTAAGGCACGCCATAGTGCTTACAAGCATCAGCACAGGTGCAGCGCGGAGAACCCAATCATGTGGTGGCGTGGTACAGTTTAGCATGTTTCCAGTGTAATTCGTTCATTAAAAGCAAGCATTTGAAAGGGTTTGGTAGACATTTATTTTTTAGTACTTTGCAGAAAGTTTTCTTTACTTTTTAAGCCATTCTTAGAGAGAAATTTTGGAAGTTCCGTTTCAAGCAGTGGATTCCGTTCAAAGTGTTAATTCCGCCAATTCCGTCCGTTTGCTGCGATCGCGGAAAATCATTGGCTCTATGTGTGTTTTGTTAATAGAGTTGATTTTAGTGTCCGTGAAAGTGAAATGCGTGAATGCATGGTGTACGCAACGCACCCCAAAAACATACAGACCGGCATCTTAAGGGGTTCATTTTTTTTTTTAAGCTAAAATTATCCCCACTCCTGAAAACAAGGAGAACATTTCCACCTCAAACCTCCTTTTTTCATTAACTTTTTGCCTTGGCAGAACAAGAAAGACCAAGGCAAGTTGGCTGGGGCAGACAAGGAAATCCTAGTGGAGGCAGATCGCCTGGACATCAAGGAGAAAGGGCCCCTCGTCCTGGCCGAGCTTCTTCTGGATGCAGACATGATGAAACAGCTCACCACTTATCGCCTGCACTTCCTGAGGGTGGGCCTCACCACGTTCTTGCCGCTAAATATTACAGAAATTGTAGAAAGATAACTCCGTAAATAAATTCCAGCGGGAAAGGTTTTTTTTTTTAATTGTAGGTTGGAAAGGTTTGCACGAAAAGATCAGACCCTGTTTGCTTTTGAAATTTGGCTTTTTTTCCCCAGGTAATTTCATCTGGTCTGAAATTTGCAGCACGGTGTGTGATGGATTGTCTTACCTTACGTTGTCTCTGTACCATCCTTTTGGACAGTTCACCAATGATTCCCACAAGGCCCAGAAGTACCTGCTGGGTGCCTTTGAGCAGCTGTGCAAGGAGTACCAGGACAAACTGATGCCCAAGGTGCCCAGCCTCCTCAAGAAGATGTACGACCTGGATCTGCTGGAGGAGGAGGTCCTTCTGTCCTGGGCCAAAAAGGTACGTTCAGTGAAAGTCTTTCATTTGGCAGGTACGTCTGATGAGTTCTCTCATCACCAAAATCAAGCAATAACAGCTTGCTCAGCAGTACACGTTCAAAACTTTAGAGGGAAGAAAAAAAGAAATACATGCTGCTAATATGTGGTCTGGTAGTGCTCTAAAAACATATTTATAGAAATATAGGCTTGGAATTTCCTTTCAAATGAGAACCTTTCAAGTGTTTCTAACAAAAGAGCTTCTGTAAACAGTTAAATCTTTTCAGCCCTATTTACATTCACTGTTTTTGTTAATCAGTTTTGCTAATGGGTGTGTAATGTATCCTTTTCATATGCTAATACATATTTTGATTATACATAGGCAGTAGGTTGTAATTTATGGAGGCCCCATGGAAGCCAGTTACAACTGTTCATGCACACCTCAAGTAAAATTAATGTTATACAGAAATCTGTATGTTTATGTGTAAATGTCAGCTAGACTGGACTCTTAGAAACAGGTGACATAGGTCGTGTCCCTGGTAGCCTATTTTTACATGGATTTCCAGGGATGCACTTTGTTAATTGTCTGGAATAACAAACTGTGTGGAATTTATGCTTTGGTACTTGACCATGTACAGTACATGGGAGTATTTTCAACTTAAGTGGGTTTATGCCATGGGTGATTGCCTCCTCAAAGTGTCCCGTTAGTGGCGTGAATTTGTGAATGCAAACATTGAAAGCCATTCACAGCCACTTTGAAACACCCTTGTGGTTAATTTACATCCGTATCTCTTCCTCGCTCAGCCTTCCAAGAAGTATGTGTCCAAGGAGATCATGAAACAGATCCAAGACAAGGCAGCGCCCTTCATCAAATGGCTTGAGGAGGCAGAAGAAGACGATTCCAGCGAAAATGAAGAAGTTGAGGTGGGTGCGCCATACTCGACGAGGAATTGTACCACTGATTCGTTTGCATTCCTGCCTGGTCTTTGCTTCTGTCAACCTCCTCTGGGCACGCTGCATAATACCTAGATGCAGATTGGCCAAATGCGTGTATCTCAAACATTTGTATTTGTGAATAGCGCGTAATTGAACGTAAACTCAGCAGTGGATGGGGGAAACATTATTTTTCTACTAAGTTGTGTCTGGTATGATTGAAAGGTGGCATATGCCTTATCTTTTTTTGTTGTCGTTTTGTCCTGTAGGTTCATCTATGTGGGTGCAGGGTGTCCACAGTTTACCCGGTTTCACTTGAATAGTGTCGCATTCATTTCTGTGTTCATAAAGGAAATGTGACGGCTAGTTATTTTATCCTTTCGCTTTCCTCATCTCTTCTAGTTGTATTCAGAGCAGACAAAGATGACAGCCATCAAATGCGCCATCAAATTGACTTTCGTTAAATGTGAACTCAGAGGACAAAATTCTGTTAGAACAACTTAATCATGGATGTTTGCATTACATATTATTGCTATAAGATTTGGATAGAACGAACATTTAGTCATGGTCCTGCAGATCTCGTGCTAACGATGTCTTCAGATGCACTGTGAAGAGGCACGCCCAGGTAATTTGTGACCATGTTGCATTGTTTGATTTGTCCCATTGCACAGGTTGCGTTCACGGGCAGCCGCGATTCCCAGCTGAAGGTGGAGACCATCTCCCCGCCGGCCAAGACATCCGAGGCTCCTGTAGCCAAATCCGCACCAGCTGAAGACGATATTGACATCGACGACATCTGAAGACGTGGGAGTTATCATCCATTGAGCTTGCTCTGTTTTCGTAGTTGATGGGTTCTCACTAGATCTGGGATTTCATGTACAAAGTATTAAACCGTGTTAAAAAACCTCTAAAACAAGCTTCTATTAACCATCGTTTCTTCTCTACACTGTCTGAAATCCGACCATGTACAAATATATACATTAGGGCAGGGGACCCAAGACAAGATTGTGAAGAAGTTGCTTGCTTGTATGTGCAGAGAGCAAAATTTCTCTACAAGTAGAGTTTCTCTTGTTGCCAATATCTGTTTTGGTGGCTTAGCCTCCCCTTCACCGTCTCCCGCCCCTTTGATGACTTTTTTACTTGGGGTGTACCACGATGAAATGCCATTCGTATGTTCCCTTCTTTCCCTCACTCTGCCCGGCATTTTTGAGATGCACCGCGGGTTCAGGCGACAACTGGACTAACTACAATTCATCAAGATGTTTGAAAAGAGGGCATGAAACTATTCAACATTTCAGCAGTGGATTGCTGTTAATTTGCCAGGGGTGACTGTTGGGTGAGCAAATGCAGTACGCATACCGCATTTTTGATCTGCCCCATGTTATGACAATAGCTGTGTGATTGTTTGTATCGTGCACAGTTTGTTCATTCAGTCTGCTTTTTCTTTTCTTTATAATGTATGCATCTTGTAGGATACACATGGAATTCTATCAAATTTGCCTGCTACTGACCTTCGTTCTGGGTTGCTTAAATGACTTTCGTTTTAATTGCTGCTTCTTTACTAAAAAATGTGGAGGTACTTTTCCGGTACAGATTCCTTTGCTTAAAAATCTCGTCCATTTCAGTAGAACGTTTTTACAGGGCACTGCTAGAAATGAAAGATGAAACCTTGATTGAATTTTGAAATGATGAAAATAATTGTTTATTACCCAGCTTTTGACTGAAGTTTGTCCACGAATTGTAAAATAATTGTTCAAGGTAACATGGAATGCATGTCCATTTGGATTTATTTGAAGTAGAAATGTTCTTGTTGATCATAAAATGAGTTGCTCAAATGGGATGCATGTTGTATTTGCCGAATGGCTGTGGTATTTCAATTGTTAAGATGACATCTGTGCTTTGCTGTAAATTCTGAAGCTGTATAGGCTATTATAAATTCACTCTACTATATACAGGACACCAAAAATACTATGTGGTAGAAAGCATTTTAAAAACATGCCAGATCCTGCTGGCTTCCACTCCTTCAATGGCAATTTTTTTCAGCTTAAAATGCTGTTAAAAACCAATTTGTAAGCTGTCTCTCTATATTCAATCGGTCACTTATTGTCATATAATGTTAATGGATTATAACCACACATTGTTTTGTCTGGTAATTCCTTTTTTTGTAGCATTTTCAGCTGTACTACAGAGCTTAAACTTTAAATTGAACTGTTTATGGCTAGCTTTACCAATAGTCCATTCCAGAACTATAGACCATCTCGCGTGAAAAAAGTAAGAAGCTCACGTTCTGTATCTTGGTTACTTTCTGTTAAACATTTCATCTGAGACAGAGAATTCATACACTTTAAAAGTGAATTATGCTTTTGAGTTTTGACTTAGCTGAACCATCCTTCAGTTGATTACAACTGGTTAAGCAGCTTCATGAATAAATGTGGAGAACTTTGTAGCGTGTTTGAAGATAGTGTTGATATCCATTGTACACTTTGATCCAATACAGCTGTCATTGTTTCAGCATGCGAGACTGAACTGTGTGACTTTTTCTGTTTGTGTCTTTAATCTGTTTGGTACATTGATATCTGTAAACCAAATGCGCAAGGACGTCCATTTGAAAAGGTTGAACAGCTGAAAATCCTTGTTTGTCCAAGAGCTCATCTTTTGTGTGCGCGCAAACGCTTGACCATGGGTTTTGACATGACAGCTTTCCAGTGCAGAATTTCACTCAGGCGAACTGAATTAATGAATATCGGCCCCCAAACCCAGTACATGTACCGGAGCACTTGCTTTCTCGCCACTAAAAAGTCACTCGGATAGTTACGAATCTTGCTGGACAGGTAATTGTATGTAGTCAACAATGGGAGGGGGGGGGGGCTTGGCCAACTCAACTGTTAGCTGTTGCAATCTATGTTGATTGCCATGCACTCTGTCACGTTCGTGCCTTGCAAGGTTGAGTTGTCCCACCAGTCGAGTTGTCTTGACATCCTGCAACAGTGCTACAAACTGTTCCTCATGGTCTAAGATAACATTTTTGTACAAGCTTCAAGCTAAAAACTTGACCCTTAAAATAGTATCTCTTTGTCTTGTGTTAGAGGAAAATTCCCCCAAATAATCCATTTACCTACCAAAAAGTTATTTAAAATGAAAAATCCAAAAAAAATTTGAAATTCCTAATGATAAAAATAATGTGCATGGTTGTATTGGAGAACTGAGCTTCATACTGTGACGTTGATGCATACGTGCCTGCAACCTGTCATGTCTGATTTATCTGTAGGGTGTTAATAAAAGTTAGCGCCCTCTGTCGACATGAGGCCCTTTCTTCTGGACGTGTACCTAGCCTCACCTGTATCAATCATGGGACTGAGCGCACTAAGATCAACTAGGGACCAGCCTATGGTGAAATATGACTGTGCTCTGTCTCGAAAACCCTTTGCTATTGCACGTCTTCTTGAGTTCTTACCTTAAAACGTGAAAGAAAAGATGGAACTAGGCAATAGTGAGATGAGTAATAAAATAAGGGTAAGTCGGAAAGAGAAGTAAAGATATAATGTTAGGTTATATTGCCCTAGATTTTGTTTGAATTGGAAACGAAGTGTCAGGTAGGTAGGCCCTAATGTAGGATTAGGACGAGTAGGCCTATAATCAGGTGATAGCCCCACTAAGTCAGCTAGTGCGTTACAGTACAGGTCAGAATTTTAGCTGACACGTTCACACACGATCAGTGAACCTGACACGCTGTTCAATGCACGCTTTGCTGTTTTTACCGTGCATTACTGGTCCAATGCTAGCCCCACTAGTGTGGCACGGACTCTCACCTCCGCTCCATCCTTAGCCACACATCTGTATACGCAATTTCGTGTCGGCGTACTGAAAATTTTGGGCGCACCCACTTATCATCGTGGGCACAATTTCTTTTGCACACAGAGATGATCCTTAGCCTCTCCGCTTTCTTAGCACCACTTAAGTTATGGAATGATTTCACTCATGTTGTTCTGGTATTTTCCAGTCTTTTTGCCTTCACTCATTTAATCTCACGGGCTCGCTCTCACAGTCTAGTCGCCATCTTTAAAATAAAGTAATTGAACATTACATCCTTTGACTCCTCATTGTCTCAATGGCTGTTCCATGTCAAGACATATCTAATACACGGACTGAGCGATAAGATACTACATGTACCAATGGGCTCTTCCAAAACTTTGGCAGTATTGATGTTTCAAACCATCTGACTTGATACCAGAGGGCTTATTTTTTGGAGTGCTTTTATTGACATTTTGCAGCTCAACAGTTTCTACTTTTTCTTTTCAGTCAGCAATCAAGGCCAAACTTGTGGAACTAGGATCCTATGTTGGTAAGTATTCAGTGTGAAATATGATTGGAAGGTTTACAAGATGGGTGTAGCAATGTGACAACGGTTTGTGACAGTGCGATACGCCATGTTAATCTCTGAGGCTCTGAAGTAAAAGGCAGCTGATGGACCTAGTGTGGTTGGCTTCAGATTTTCAAGCACACATGAGATTCACAGTCACACGGTGTTGCCAGAAACCTTCATCACCTATTTAATATGGGGAATTATTTTCTGTTCAAAGATAAGTGCTGAACTGAATACATATTCAATATTTACCCAAGAATCTTGACTGGTTCAAGATTGAAAAGCAAGAAATGATGTTTGACAAACAAAAGTGAGGGTAAAATGAATATAATGATAGCGTGCATTATCAAATTTGTAACTCATAGTTGCTGCTGTAGCATTTGGAGAGGAGTAAAACTTAGTTGGAGGGCTCAGGGCCTTTAACTTTTCTGATTTCTGTTTCACAGAATTCCTCGTGAGCCCCAAATGCCTTTGAGCCTTAAAAAAAAAAAATTGCTGTTGAACCATTCTGTCTCTGCAGATGATGAGCTGCCAGATTACATCATGGTCATGATTGCCAACAAGAAGTCACTGGCCCAGATGACCGATGACCTTTCCCTGTTCCTGGGAAATAACACAGTGACCTTCACGTCCTGGTATGGCTTTCTCGTACTGACCCAATCCTGCAAACAGAGAGGAATGATTTGTACTCTGATCTTGAATTTCTGTCAGATCGAGCACGTTAAGCGTTGTGTCAAGCACCTAATGCCTCATAGTTTTGCATTGGTGTCATTCTGTAAATTAGGGGTCCAATTTTCTTCTTGTCCCTGTCAAATCTGACATACCGGTACATGTATGATTGTATAAGTTCAGAAGATTTTCTCTATTTTCCAAGAGAGATTAATTAATCCGTATTACCTGCCAAACAAATAAAGTAGTATAAAAACAATTCCAGTGATATTTCCGTGTCAAATTACACAGGTCAGATGTAGCAGGGACACAAAAATGTCACACTTTTGGACCCTGAATTCACAGAATGATCCATTGCATGGTTTTGGTGGCAGACACGTCTCTCCGTTGTTAAACAGTCAGTCTTTTTTGTACTGAAGGTTACACACCGTACTTGATACGCTGAAAAAACCTGAAACGGAGCCAAAGCCCAAAAAGGTCAAAGAGCATGCTGCCAAGAGCAAAAAAGCCAAGGAAAAGAAATCGCCACTCTCTGCCAATCAGAAGCAGGCCAAGGTGAGCGAGGTCCAGTCCCAGCCAATCCCGTCAGACCCCCACGCTGTGACAGGCTCCAGTGTCGTCCCCTCACCGGCTACACAGAAGCCGACGGTGACCTCCCTAAAAGTAAGTAAAGCTGATCCGTCCCAGGATGTCATCACCTTGAAGGCGGAGACAGACGACTTTCTGGATGCGGAGCTGGCCCAGGAGGCGCTGGTGATCTCTGAAGGGACCAAGAAACAGTCGGCGATTGTCTCACCAGTAGCTACGGTCAAGGAGAAGCCTTCACTCTCGGCTGAGAAGAGCAAGTCGTCGCAGCAAAAGCTGGCAGACAAGAAATCCCTGGCGCCTTCGGGGGCTCCTGTCAGTATGAAGGTTTCTCCAACCTTACCGGTAAGATCATTACGGAAAGTCTCATTATAGCCTTCTTGCTTAAATACAGATTCTTGGATCAATGAATTCAGGACTTGTGGATTTTTCAACTTGGCATGGCGTTGCCGGAATTAGAAGTAAAGTTTTTCCAAATTTTACACGAAAGTGAATGCAGGACTTGTGCAAGTTGACGTTTTGATGCGGCAGTGCCTGCACTCTTGTGTTGTTACTCCCACTGGAATGCAATAGAATACTACTGAACAGCGGGGGTATATGATATTAAACTGTAACGACCTGGCACTGCTTCTAATTCAACCTCAAATCCGTGGGCTGGATGTGCTCGAGGCATGATGGAAAGTAATATGGCACGGCATGATCGTACCTGTCGGAACGAGGTGCCATGCATTGCAGTACACATGTGCTATACTGGTGGAAAGTCAAAACTCAGGCGCCCTTTTTTTCGTTATGTGCGTTTCTTTAATATGTTTAGTGCTGCTTTGATTGATCAAAATGGCTCTTCATTCCCTTAAAGGCATCAATTGTGGCAGTCTTTCACTTCATAAAGGCTTGAAAAATCCCTGGAAATTTTTGCTGCCTGAAAGTCAGGTGGAAAAAGAGTTGTAATGGAAAGACGAAGTTATTTGGAAAAATCAACCAATATTAATACGGATAGCCTACTGCAGGTACCAGTACACATGGTGTAATAAATGGCCGAAATGGAGTACAGAGGGACGTCTGTAAGGAGGCATTTTCCCCTCCAGATTTTTCATTTTTCTCAAGTCTCACCCCTGCATCAAAATGTATCCTCCATACATGCACATAAAACTCTATTTTGAACACGTTTGGAATGTGCCACTGTTACAGGTGAAGTGAAATTTTCCTTTTGATGTCTTTTTTTAATACATCATTGTTCAGTGAATGCCCAGCCAAAGTTGTTTCTTCAAAACTGTTGATAATGGTAATCAACTGATCCACATAGGGAAACCGACTTCATATTGGTGCTTGTATTGTAATTACTGTGTAGTGATGAATAAAGACATTGACTGAGGATTTGAACCTGTGACCTCTGGAACACTGCACCGGCACTCTGCCAACTGAGCTACCCAGCCCTATGTTGGTGGTCCAGGCGGTTTTGCCAGAATCATTGAATCCAAAACGCCATTTAGCCAGAGATCGTGCTCAAAGACATGATGCAAGCAACATAAGTTTTAGCTAAAAATGTTTTAAATCACTCAAAGAGGACTGGGCTTTAACTTTGTGAGAGTGCTCCCTCATGTTCACGAGTTAACAGTTGAGTGTATTAAAGTTTTGTTAATGGTTTACTGACCAAGCTATGCCTTACTCATTTCATCCTCTTGCTTGCAGTTTATGTTGTAAAACATATATCTTGCGTAATAAAAGCAAGGTTAAAAGTGAATTACTCTCACATGTGGCCAAAATTAACGTGCCATAATCATATCCTTTCTAGAGGGAATTCATGCCTTCTTATCTATTAAATCCCTCAAAATCATACTCCTTTCTTGTCATCATTAACACCTGCTTGGTGTTTGATGGGTTTCACGTCATCTTGCAATCTCGCTCCTTGGTCTGTTGTGCAGGTGTCGCGGAAACGCAAGGCTCCGGGCTCCGTGATTGGCCAAGTCCTGAATGTGGAAGAGGAGGAGGAGGATTTACCGGCCAGCTTTGGCAAGAAAGTTGCCAGCACCGTGCAGCCCCAGAGGAGGTCAGATTACAGTTCTTTTAAAATCGCTTACCAGCCCCCCCCAAAAAAATAAATTTCAAGCATTTCAAGCATACTGTTGATTTTTAAAAGGGGTCTTGGCACAGGTGTAACATGACTTTGGTTTAGACTGTTTTCTTAACCTGAGAAAAGAGAAACTGTGTCGTAAAATTCACAGCTGTGTGTCTTGCTGAAACACAGCTTACAGGCCACTGACTTGCAAATGCTGCCGTGTTTTCCAGCAGAAGGGCAAAATGACACTTTGTGTCACAGTGAGATTTTTTTTGGGGGGGGGGCACTTTTGTTGATCAATTTTGGGGAAATCTGCATTTGTACTGGCCAGGTTTATTATTAGCTAATGCATGTTTCCCCAGGTGTGTATTTCAGTACCTCAGTTTTACTTTTAATAGGCTGCATGTACATCAACAATAATTCTGAACATAAGACCTTCCTCTAGAGAACAGCGTCTTAGACAAATGGATACCCTTTTTCAGATTCCTTGCCGCCATGAATGGATTTCATATTAATTTCTAATTTTTACTGGTGTCCTTTTACAGGACAGCAGCTAAAATACTAGTGCAGTCATATTTTTGGGGGTGAAATGTGTGATTTTGTTCATTCCTCTCAGTTGCCTTGGGGTAGCAGCATTTCTGCAGGCAACTTTTGAACAGTTGCCAAAATTTTTATAGCTCAGTGCAATTTTTTGGAGCCATTTGATACTTTCGGCAGCACAACTTGTTTTTTCCTGCCAGGTGTTTAGGGTTTTAGCCAAAGATGAAAAGTGTTTGCTGTTTTGGGAAGGCAACTAGAACCTTTGGTAGCCTGATCAAAACCATTTGGCTCTGCATTCCTGTGGATGTTAGTACTGACGTGATATACATGTACAAGGGGAAATCTAAGTTTGAACAGTAAGAAAAAATGCAGTAAAGAGGGAAGGACTCGGGTATCAATCTGGGGCAAGTTTGATTGCCAACTGTGTGGTTGGTTGCCAACAGGTGCAATTCCACCATTTAGTCAAGTCATTCCTTGCACTTTCATATGCAGTGCAGGTTCGTCAGAATGACAGCAGACGGACTGCTGTTGATGAAATCACATCCTTGATATCATTTGCAATTTGGCTACTCCTTTCGCCACAATCTGGCATCAGTTTCACATCAGCGGTTCCCTCTGTACCTCACTGCGCAAGAGGGCTGAGAACCAGCCATACATCTTCTCCCATGCTGCTGTTCCAGTGAACTTTATCAACGATCCAACTATGCTGAAATTAAGTGAAAATCAGTGACAGGATCGCACAAAAAAATTCTCAAGTCCTTGTTTTCAGGAACTCTGTATTATTTTTGTATTAGAAAGAGCAATTTGAGTTCTGTTGCTACTGAAATGATATATTGTTCAGATTGTCGTCTCGATGAAGACAGACATGATGTGGATAGGAAATGTTGATTGTTTCCATTTATTACACCGTGCAAGATTCTTTTAATTTAAATACCTAAACTGAAAGGTACATGTAACTCCCGTGACTTGTGACTCCTTCCGGAACGTTGGGTCACGAATGTGCAGTTATGAACATTGTTATAAGTTGGCCTCAACCTTTGTCATGCAGGCCATCTCTTCCGGTAGAGAAGCAGGCAAACATCTCCTTGTTGAAGAAGGCCGTTTCGGCAGCCGAGGCTTCCACTAGTCCAGCACTCAAGGCACAGATGAAACAACAAGTACCCAAAATGGCCCCCCGGCGCTTCAAGATAATCAGGTACGAAACACGCGGGCCAGGACTGACATGGGCATTTTCGTTACAGCTTTGGCTGGTCAGTATGGCAAGCTAAAAAAACGAAAAGATAATCCTAAGACACCGAATCTGTGATTCGAACACTACCTTAGGAGTCACCTCAAATCTCGTCTGGGGAAAGTAGACTGCAGAAGAGTGTTGAGGCGGAATATTGAGAGTTCCTGGAAAACTGCCCTGCAATCTTCCCAGAATGAAGTTATGAGTATCTGTATGCACATCCCCCCCCCCAATTGTGGTTTTGGCAGGCCATTCAAGGACACCTGTGGTTTTCGGGACAGAAGAGCCACAGACAGAGGACTGCAAATTTAATCGCGCACTCCTTACTGGAGCTTTTTGAAGCTTGGAATGAATACACTTTGACAACTCACAAAGCTTCTTTACGTTTTTTACTCTGGCTGGAAAACTACGGTTTTACTTTAGGCAAATATACCTTTATTTGCATTTAATGTGGCGATAAAGCAAATTTTGAAACCTGGCAATTTTGAACTACAATGGCTTATAGTTTTGAATTCAGAATTGAATGGATATAACCATGGAGGATATGTTATATGGTACAACAAAGGGCAGAGGTAACAATATAACTAGATCTGTAGAATTTTTATTTCCAACCAACCACCTGATTCAGTCTTCAACACTGTGTTGAGTGACCCAAGGTCAGTCTCTGGAAATGGCAAACCACCTGAATATTGTCCACCTATTACAAGCCCTCTGGTAATATAAACAGTCCTTCACAGTAAGTGACCTAATGCCGACTCCCCCACAACTTGTCCTAAATTAATGTAGTGCTGCAGCTGAACTGAACCAAACTGGGTGGTTCGGTTGTTAGGCTTTAATATAGCATGGCATTGATAGCGCACGGAGTGCACGCAAGAAAACGCTATACAAAAGCAAACACAACCAAAAATGGATAACAATTTGTGCCGCACCGGTACCTCACTGGCGCTTGGCACATGAGCGTGTACACACATATGGCCCCGCATCACGCGATGATTGTAAAAAGCACGAGGTGAGAATTCACCAATAATCAACCGAGAACAATGCAATGTAGGTCCTACAGGATTTCCGCTGCACAACAATTCTAACTTCTCACTACATCCAATTGTGCTTATGTATATTCAGATTTAGCATTATGTTTGCCGATCTCCAATAGCCACGCCCTCAGGTTCCATATTAGGCTAATGATGTAATAAATTTTGATTGGATGCTGAGCACAGTCAGCCTCATGCTTGATCCAAGACAACTCCGGAGGGAAAACTGATTTTTCCACGCGGGCAGGTGCAGCATCTCAGCAAGGGCGCGTGACAAGATTTGGTTCACACAGTGGCCCAAACTACCCTTCGTTGACCATGTTTGATCAAAGTAGTTGTGTGAATACATTATAATGGAATTTTGCCAGATCCCTAAGTTCGCAAATCTCAAATTACAAGATGCCGTTATCCGTTTGAAAAAGACTGATGGAAAATCGCCCCTTTGGCCACTAGGGCGCTGTCCTGGGAAAGAATGCTGACTGGATACCAAGGTTCTTCTTCGAATACACTGTACATTGGTTTGGCAGTTGAATCTGTTTCATGAAAAATAACCAAAACACAAAATTCGCTCGAAATTTAATTTGATCTTGTATCCTGTAAAGGAGCAAACCGAGCATGCTGTTTTTTCTGTTCTCACATGTCCTGCAATGATTTTTGTTGAGTCAAGCGTGTTCCAAACCCAACCGCTTTTGTTCGGCAAAACACGGTCGGAAATTGTCACACCTCCAACGGTAACTTTCTATCGAATTTTAGCTCCTATACAAACTTTGGGGAAACAGTTTAGAAAAAGAGCATGTTCACATCGAAGTTGGTGGTGAATGGGGATGGAGGGGAGATTCATTGCTTGTATTAACGTAACTTACACACGGTAGTACTATATACGGCACGTTCATAGCGTGCTCTTCGATGTCTCCGTGTGCATTGTATATGTACATATGCGTACATGTGTGTACGTGTCCTAACCCCAACTGAACTGAAGTTCGGCAAATAGTTTCCGAACCTTGTCCGAACCAAACCCAAACCAAACCTAAATAAGTGTACAGCTTCTCGCTGGGAAATTTCGGGCCACTCTGCCCACAATTTTGCCACAATTTATTCCTGGCGAGTTTTGACATAACTCCTTCCAATTGCTTTGTGTGGTGGAACTGTCCCCCATCGCAATGGGGCATTGTAATTTGAAGCTTGGGGATAGAAGAATTACCGTAGCTGACACATTGCTCTGCCTGTGTATGCACTTTCTATTGACATTGCCTTTGTGTCACATGATTTGGGACAATTAAAAGTGATACTCATTAGGATGTGCCTCTAATGTTTACTCCTAAGGAAGGCCTGCAATGTACATGTGTATGTCAAGTTCATTGGTTAACGCTGGTACATGTATATATGAGGGGGTGCTTCTCCAGCTATGGATGGTTGCTTGTCTAGCAAGTGAGATTGTGGGATGTGAGATTGTAGCAATTGTAGGTTGATACACAAAAGGAACGTCGAATTAGTTGCCGTTGAAGGGAATTTTGCAAAAGTGCCGACAAGGTAGTGCCTCGTGTGATAGTTGTGTGACTGGGTCGCATTATGTCAACCTTTTCCCACAGTGCAGTGAATGCATCCCATGTTTTTTTCCAATCCCTTTTCGTGCAGGTAGTTATAATGCACAGGGCATAAGTGGTAACAGTTGTAATTCAGTCATCCTCAAGTCGAAAATATTATGCAGATCCCAGCGGGGATGAAAGATGGCAAGAATTTGCCTCTGTCACAGCCGTGGTCTTGGTGCTTCTTTTTGTAATTTTCAAAGCTCGCTCCTTGAGTGGAAACTCATCAACTTGTCATTCAGTTGTGATCACTTGATGACACCTCTACTTGGGCTTAATTGTCTGTTCCCCATAAATGCCATACATTATGTCGTTTTACAGCAGATTGAAATTTGAATGGGCGTTGAATTCAAGGATCCCAGATATTATGAAGTCCATGATAAAGCTGTACTGGTCACTATGTTGCCTACTTACTGGAGGAAATAATATCAGTGCAAAATATATCACATCATTTTTGGTTTTCTTGTCTTTTTTTCCCTCCATTTTTCTTTGTGACATAAAATTAGGAAGCAGCAACATTTGCCACCCAAGCGGAACCTTCTCCTCAAGGCTGTCCAGGAGGCCAAGGAGAGCACCTCCATCACCAGGCAGCTCCAGGGATCTTCGTCGGGCCCGACGGTCCAGCCTAGAGTCCAGATGGAGATGCCGTCGACGGGACTGGTGTCGCGCTCGCGTCTCCTGGAGCTGACGGAGCGGAACTACGACACACAGGACTTCATGACCGTGTCAGCGGATCCCGCAGATGCAGCGTCGGTGGCGTGGCAGGGGGAGGAGTATTATGCCGATGATGAGGAACAAGGTGAAGAACCTTTCCGTCACATGGGACCGGCTCTCTGAAAATGAGTCCCAAGTTTCCAGAGCCACTTTTGAGCCCTTAGGAGGATCTTGCACCGTGGAAAATCAGTGGGGCCCCTCAGCGTTTTCACCCCCGCAATGTCAATTTCTCGTCATGATGCCACACCGAGCGATACTTCAAAGAAAAGAGCTGATCTTGCTCTCTCTAACACAAACTGAAATAGAATTACTGGAAGAAAAAAAATGGCCTTGTGACTCCTTGTCACAGAGTGGGTTGGATGCGTGGGAGAGTAGGACTAGAAGATATTTCATTGTAAAGGGGCTTTCATGCAGTGGCTCACGTGGACTGCATCAGACAGATTTTAAGCTAAAACGCACTCACAATTAGTGCCTTTGTGCAGAATTATAAAAGCTTCTCTAATGTCTGACACCTGTGTTTACACGTATCTAAACAGTCACGTATCACGGCCTTGATCTGTCATATGTCGAGTTTGCACATGTGCAGAAATATTTCAAATACAACACATAACATGCTATGTACATGTATTATGAAGCGTCCACCTGTTAGACACGCCAGGCATTGCGTTAGATGCTTGTCAGCTGGTGGATACAACAAAGTACACGTACAGTCAATTCACACTGCTTTTAGATTGACTTCAAATGGTGTGTGTGCTGCCAGAGCATTAGTAAAGTGCTTGTTGTGGTTTTGTTGCTTTGTGTTGGGTGACTGTGTTGTAGTTGGAGAGCAGGCGTCCACTGCCACAGCACCGGACATCGCTTTATGCATTGGAACAAACGTTGAACGCCAATCCTGGAGCTGCAATTAATTTGTTGAGGTCCGTTTGTACATTTCAGAGGAAACCGAGAGTCCAGACTCAAGACAAATCTGCCTGACGACAGAGACCAGTCCCACAGAAGTCCTCTACGTCGTGGATGATGACAAGGGGGTTGCTGAGCCTGTATACAAACCGACCCCTCTGACTTCCCGCCAAAGGTTAGTCTGCACCATAGAGCTATAGCACAGTAGCTAGAGCGTTAGTTAACTCACTGTGAAAAATGAAAGCTCCTGGTCGCAACCACGCTCGTGCATGAACCTATGGAAAACTTGGCTTTTATATTGCTATTTGCCCATCTGTGTCTATACCCTCAAAGGACGTGCCAAAATCCGAAATGCACAGACAGTAAATGAGTGTCTCTGTTTGCTCAGAGTAAAAAGTGCAAGCATGCATATATGCTCTGCAGATGAATTTGGCTGAGGCTTCTTCGTGCATCATACTTTAGATAGAAAACATGCTTATAGTGTGTGTTTTTCCCGTGCTTGCGATTTGCATTTAGAGTGCATCATTTGGAATTAGTTCCTTCTTACATGAATCTCATTATGTTCTACAAACATACAAAATGTTGCCAACCCAAGCAAGTAAAAATGTCTGCACTCGGGACGACATCCCAGTTTCTTTGCTCTAGGAATGAAGAGTTTGCGTTCAAATCAAGCAGTGGAGTTTGCTGCCCGACAGTGTTGTCTTAGGGCAGTGGCTTTGGCATCATAGTGGCTGATTTCATGACACCTTATGTAGTGACTTCAATCTCTCAAACCCATTCATTTTTTATAAAGTGAGACATGCAACGTTACGTCACATTTTCCTCCAGTCGGTTTGCAAGCTGACCCCGTACCCTTTGAAGCCAAAGTAAACTCTGTGGCTGCTCAGTATTTGCAATGAAAAACAGGAGTGGATGATGTGTGGAAGCTCCGTATCAACTTTCATCGGTCACAAATGCTGCAAGGAAAAAAGGGAAAAGAAAAGAGTATGACATATTCCAAGTAAAGAAACTTTAATTGTAGTATTTCCGAAGTGCTGCTGTCCGAGAGGATTGCACAGACTGTTGATAAACATGTAATGTTCAAATTGTTTTAAAACACTTGCCTTCCTGAATATTCGCAAATTCTTATTCAAAAACAGCACCTCCTACGTAGTACCGAGTACTAGTGTGAGGTGATTTGCACCAGAAAGTGTGATGCAGATTAATGGAGTACGCACACTTGTTGGTTCACTCGCAGGTTCTCGAGGTAATTCCTTTTACACACAAAATTGTACATGTGACATGTTAAGCTCAACAGCATTGCATATCAGTACTTGTAGATCCCCTTCATTAACTTTGAATGGGATCAATCCCAAACTGACCCGGTAAGGGGTGGGCCATGAAGTCTTTACGAAGTGGAGGGGTTGGTATCGCACACACCTAGCATATGGGGTGGGGCGGACAAATGTATACTCGCAGTGCTTATTCTCAGACCCTCCAACCTTTCCGATTTGGGCAGAAAATTTCTGCTTTTTTTGTCATTTCCCGCTTTTATGCATATATTTCCTGAAAAAAGAAAATCCTGCTGGAGGTCAGCATTTCCCCCCCCCCCCCCGAGCGATCAGGGGAACATACCGGTAGTGGTGGCATGGTTAGCATTGTGATATGCACTTGCAGCTCATGCATGCAAAGTTCATTCAGCTGGTTAGCGACATGCTAATTTGTTGGGTGCAATTTCGAAAAGGGGCAAGTTACCAATTTGTTTTCCGTATAAATCTAATTAGGAACCTGCCCAAGTTCAAAATTTGGTAGCACGAATTAGAAATTTGAGCAAACTCTTTGACCTCCAACTCTAATCACATACGCAAACAGAACTGTGCCAGCCATGCCAGCACAGCAGGGTGCGCAAATTTTTTTGTT